TTTTTTGGTGTCTTTGTCTGGTTTTGGTATTAGAGTGATGTTGGCCTTGTAGAATGAGTTTGGGAGTATTCCCTCCTCTTCTACTTTTTGGAAAACTTTAAGGAGGATGGGTATTAGGTCTTCACTACATGCTTGATAAAATTCAGCAGTGAAAACATCTGGTCCAGGGGTTTTGTTCTTAGGTAGGTTTTTGATTACCAGCTCAATTTTGTTGCTGGTAATTGGTGTTTTCATATTTTCTATTTCTTCCTGCATCAGCCTTGGAAGGTTGTATTTTTCTAGAAAGTTGTCCATTTCTTCTAGGTTATCAAATTTGTTAGCATCTAATTTTTCATAGTATTCTCTCATAATTCTTTGTATTTCTGTGGTGTTCATACTATTTTTCCTTTTCTTGTTTCTGATTCTGTTTATGTGTGTAGACTCTCTTTTTTTCTTGATAAGTCTGGCTAGGGGTTTATTTATTTTCACGAACAACCAGCTCCTGCTTTCATTGATTTTTTTCTATTGTTTTATTCTTCTCAATTTTATTTACTTGTGCTTTGATCTTTATTATGTCCCTCCTTCTACTGACTTTGGGCCTCCTTTGTTCTTCCTTTCCTAGTTTCATTAATTGTGAGTTTAGACTGTTCATTTCAAATTGTTCTTCTTACCTGAGGATTCCAATATACTTCCCTCTTAGCATGGCCTGTGCTGCATGCCACAGATTTTGTGTTGTTAATTATTGTTGTCATTTGTCTCCATATATTGCTTGATATCTGTTTTTAGTTGGTCATTGATCCATTCATTATTTAGGAGCATGTTATTAAGCCTCCATGTGCTTGTGGGCTTTTTCATTTTCTTTGTGTAATTCATTTCTAGTTTCATATCTTTGTGATCTGAGAGGTTGGTTGGTAAAATTTCCATCTTTTTGAATTTACTGAGATTCTTTTTGTGGCCTAGTATATAATCTATTCTTGAAAATGTTCCATGTGCACTTGAGAAGAATGTGAGTAGTGTGTTGAAGTCTCCTAAAATGAATGCATTGCTGGCCTCTCTTGTCCCCTCCTGGCATTAGCCAGGAGCTCTTTCCTCTCACTTTATCTCTAAACAAAAGCCTGTACCTTGCTCTCCTTTAAAAAAAAAATCATGGCAGTCTATTTCACCCTTTAATTCTGTTAGTATTTGTTTCACATATGTAGGTGATGCTGTGTTAGGTACATAGATATTTGTAATGGTTCTATCTTCTTGTTGGATTGACCCCTTTATCATTATGTATTGTCCTTCTTTGTTTCTTGTGACTTTCTTTGTTTTGAAATCTATTTTGTCGGATGCAAGTACTGCAATTCCTGCTTTTTTTTCCCTGTTTCATGAAATATCATTTTCAATCCCTTTACTTTCAGTCTGTGTATGTCTTTGGGTTTAAAGTGAGTCGTCTCTTGAAGGCAGCATATAGATGGCTCTTGTTTTTATCCATTCAGTGACTCTGTGTCTTTTGATTGGTGCATTCAGACCATTTACATTTAGGGTGATTATCAATAGGTATGTAGTTATTGCCATTGCAGGCTTTAGATTTGTGGTTAGTAAAGGCTCAAGGGCAGCTTCTTTACTATCTCGTCATCTAACTTAACTCTCTTATTAAGCTATTATAAACACAGTGTGATGATTCTTTATTTCTCTCCCTTCTAATTCCTCCTCCTCCATTCTTTATATGTTAGGTGTTTTATTCTGTACTCTTTCCTGTTTCCTATGACTGCTTTTGTGAGTAGTTGATTTTATTTTTTGCCTTTAGTTAGTATTTGGTTGGTCTGCTTTCTTTGCTGTGATTTTATTTTCTCTGTTGACATCTATTTAGCCTTAGGTGTGCTCCCATCTAGAGCAGTCCCTTTAAAATATCCTGTAGAGGTGGTTTGTGGGAAGCAAATTCCATCTACTTTTGTTTGTCTGGGAACTGTTTAATCCCTCCTTCATATTTAACTGATAATCGTGCTGGATACAGTATTCTTGGTTCAAGGCCTTTCTGTTTCATTACATTAAATATATCATGCCATTCCCTTCTGGCCTGTAAGGTTTCTGTTGAGAAGTCTGATGATAGCCTGATGGGTTTTCCTTTGCAGGTGACCTTTTTTCTCTCTCTGGCTGCCTTTAATACTCTGTCCTTGTCCTTGATCTTTGCCATTTTAATTATTATATGTCTTGGTGTTGTCCTCCTTGGTTCCCTTGTGTTGGGAGTTCTATGGTCTGAGAGACTATTTCCTCCCCCACTTTGGGGAAGTTTTCAGCAATTATTTCTTCAAAGACACTTTCTATCCCTTTTTCTCTCTCTTCTTCTGGTGCCCCTATAATGTGAATATTGTTCCATTTGGATTGGTCACATAGTTCTCTTAATATTCTTTCCTTCCTGGAGATCCTTTCATCTTTCTCTACCTCAGCTTCTCGGTGTTCCTATTCCCTGATTTCTATTCCATTAACAGCCTCTTGAACCTTATCCACTCTGCTCCTAAGTCCTTCCAGAGACTGTTTTATTTACATATTTCTCTGATGTCCATCAGCATGATTATGACCTTTATTTTGAATTATTTTTCGGGAAGATTGGTTAAATCTATCTCCCCCGGCTCCCTCTCTGGGGTTGTCTGTGTGATTCTGGACTGGATCAAATTCTTCTGCCTTTTCATGGCAATAGAGGAAGCTGTGGGCAGTTGGCGCATGTGTTAGATGGAAGAACAATGTCCCTTCCTGCACCTTGCCCTTCTCTGCTGCCTGTGCAGGTTACAAGCACTCAGGGAGCAGCTTCCGGTTTTATTTCCTGAGCTGCCATGGGCGGGGCAGCTGTCAGGGCAGGTGGGGAGAGGCAGGTGTGCTGAGTGTGCTGTCCTGTGAGAACTGTGACCCTTGGAGCCCTGTTCTGGCTTCCTCTGTCTGTGTGTGCTGGTGGGGCCTCTGAGTCTGGCCTGGGTGGCTGCTGTGGGTGCAGCCATTCTCAGGCTGCTCCCCTGCTATGGTGGGGTTGTGCCAGAGGGGAATGGATGGGAGGCTGTTTATTGCCATGAAGGGCTTCAGAGTTGCGCTGCCTCCCAGGGGGCTGGAGCACCTGAATTTCCCCAGGATTACAGCTGCTGGGCTGAGTGTGCTGTGATGCTTCTGTCCAGCTGTGAGGCCCCTGTCCCTTTAAGACTTTCAAAAAGTGCTCACTTTTCTTTTGTCCCAGGGGCACTGGCTGCAGGGTCCCGTTTGCTGATTTTCCTTTTCTGGTTCCCTAATATCCAGCACACCACGCAATGTGTGTCTGCGTTCCTGGTGCAGGTGACTAGGGCTGGGTGTTTAGCAGTCCTGGGCTCCCACTCCCTCCCTGCTCTGATTCCTCTCTTCCTGCCAGGGAGCTGGGGTGGCAGGGGGCACTTGGGCCCCACCAGGCCATGGCTTGTATTTTATCCCCTTCATGAGGCACTGAGTTTTCACAGATGTAGATGTAGTCTGACTGTTGTACTGTACCTTCTGGTCTCTCTTTTAGAAATAATTGTATTTGTTGTATTTTCAAAAATATGTATGGGTTTGGGAGGAGATTTCCAGTGCCCTAGTCATGCTGGCATCTTGGCTCCTTGGTTGCATGTTAATTTTTTGAGAATCTGCCAAATTGCCCAGACTGCCTATATAATTTTGTATTACCACCAGCAGTGTATGAGTTGAGTGAGTTTCTCCACATCCTCTCCAGAATTTGTTTGTATCATTGTTTTTTGTTTTAGCCATTTGATTGGTGTGGTTTTAATTTGCATTTCCTTCATGGCTAATGATGTTGAATAACTTCCCTTGTGCTTTTCTGTCATTCATGTATCCTCTTCAGTGAAATGTCTGTTCATGTTTGTTTACTAATTAGATTGCTTGCAGGTGCTTTCTTTAAAAATTTTTATTAAGGTATCATTGATATACACTCTTATGAAGGTTGCTGCTTGTGTTTATGCAGGACAAGGACCATGTAGCCACTGGGTCAGCCCATGAGACCCAAACACATAACCTCAATGAAAGAGAAGAAGACTGTGTAGTAAGACTACAGATTTGTTTGGAATGGATGAATTACAGTATCTATGCATTCTCTCCCTACTCGTATATATATGGTTTTGGGAAGATATTTCTGCTGCCCTAGTAACGCCACCATCTTGGCTTCTCCTGTAGTGCTGCTTTCTTTAATGTACTTGTGAGGTTTTTTATCAGACAAGTTCATTAATCTCATTAATTTAAAGCATTTCTCCTTTTTCTATTCCTGGGAGAAACTGTGTAAGATTTAGAGTCTATTTCTTTCTTAAATGTTTCATAAAATTCACCTACAAACTAATCTGGGCCTGAAATTTTGTTTAATTATACCAGTGATATAATACATACCTCCTCTATTTCTAGCTCACAGTGTTTAAGCATCCTCCACTATCAAGCCCATGCAACATTTACCTAACTCGTGAAAAAGTCAGAAAATACATCAATGATTATTTATAGATGTCCTGATTTTGTTCATGGCTGTATAGGACTTCAAGAACTGAATCTGGGAAGTTGAGAAATTTTGTTGCAGATGGATTTAGTCCTCACAACCTCATTTCTATGCAAACCATCCAAGGATGAACCCATCTTAGAGAATACAGACTTTAAACCCAGCCATGGACCTATTCTCCAAAAGGCAGAGATTTCTGTGTTCCAGAACCCTCAGCATAGCTTATTTCAAAATGGCAGTAAATCATGTGCAAGGCAGGAGCTGCAGAGACTCTATAACTCATTTCGCTTGTGGCTGCAGCCGGAAAAACACAGCAAGGATGAAATTATTTTTCAAGTGGTTCTGGAACAGTTTATGGTCAATAGGCACTACAGCGACAGGTCTACTTTGAAAGAGAAATGGGAATCAAGTGGCAGAAAACTGGAGAGATTCATAGAGGACCTGAGTGATGACTGGGTGAAGCCACCTCGCTTAGTGAGTAGAGGGTTCTGTATCCTGGGGTGAGGGGCTGGAAGGACTCAGGGGTAAGCACAGTAGACTGGAGATGCCTGAGGCAGAGAAAGACCACCTAGTTAGGGCCAGAGCTCTCTCCTCTTACCGAGGGAATCTTTACTATCCTAAGTAAGCAAGAATAAAAAGTTTTATAAGCATATATTCAGTGACACATACAGAAACCAACATATTATTTAGCTGCCTTTTATTGCTGAGATGGTAGGAAGGCTCACTTAGAAATTGTCTTTTGGGAAGAAACCTCACAGATGAAGAGAAATGCCTTGACAAGAGCTTGTTCTTCCCTCAGAAAGCCTTAGTCTTCATCTTTTTCTAGGGAAGACACACGAATAAAGAAATTGCCATGAAGTGTAGTAAGCAGAGATCAGGGCAGAACAAGGAGATGCGGCAGGTCACCTGTTCCACTTGGGAGATGAATGAACACACGGACTCCAGAAACCCAAAGGGACCGTGAGCCCAGACAGAGAGGCTGACAAGTCCAGCATGAATTCAGTAGAGGTTTACTGAGGGCATCTTAGGTACTGAAGCTTGCCGTGGGCAGCTGCAGGGTGCATAGGCCTCAGCACTGCTTTGGGTTTAAGGAAGCTAATTGATAATGGCAAAGAGGAAGGACCCACGTGCAGGGTGGCCACTTGCACACACAGTGGCGCAGGGTCCGGCATCCCAGTCTTAACCATCCCTGGAATAGGGTAAAGATTCTTGCCCCAGGGAACAATGATTGATTGATATATTTATTTAGTTTTTATTACCAAATATGCATTGCAGTGGTTCAGCATTCCCTCTCACCCCCACCTGTGCCAAGTCCCCTCCCCCTTAGTGACCACTAGTCACTTCTCAGTGTATCTGAGACTAATGATGTTTGGGAACAATGTTTTATTGTTTCAAGCTGGATATTATCTAAAGAATACTTGTGTATCAAAGAAAGAAGTGTGTAAAGGAGATTCCCCAGTCAACATGGAGGATTTGATAAGATGGCACCACTCTTACTCATGACACCATTGTATAGAAGTCTAGGGAAAACCTGACTAGGCAGGTTTCCCACAATGGCATGTGTCCCACAGCAGGTCCATATATGACAGTGACTAGGCTTCTTTTTTACAGGTGCATGTCCACATGCAGGGACAGGAAGCCCTCTTTTCTGAGAATATGCCCTTAAGAGAAGTCATTCTTCATCTATCCAAACAGTTGTTCACAGGAACCCCAAGAGAACACAACATGGGGACACCCTCCTGGCCTCCCCAGGAGGCTTCTCTGGAAACAGGACCAGGTGGGTCAGGGGAGCGCAGGTGCCTGAGGGATGTTCTGTGTGGACCCCTTTTGGGGTACAGCTTCATTGAGTCACTTCTTCATTTCTACAGGAGATGAAGACAAGGAAAATGGTGGCAACATTTCTTTGAAAATTTGTCAAGTAAATGGCAGTATTGCGAGTCAGGGCAACGAAACGCCTTCCCTACTCATGATCCAGGGAGAGCGCGGTCCTAGGCCTGAAGAGCAGGCTGTTTCTTTGAAGAATCCACTGAGCTCTGCACGGGCAGGTCCAGGCACCTCCAGGGCCCAGGAATGGGCCCTGACTGGGCCTTCTTCTCAGGATGTCCTGATGGAGGCGGGACCAGGCTTTCTTCCCAGGCCAGACCAGGCCTCCCCTGAGCCTGTTCCTAACAATCAGGGCATCGAGGGAAACTCCACACGTGGGGGACAGCAAGAAAAATTCCACAGGGCCCCCAAATCATACAGATGTGAAGAGTGTCCCAGGATGTTTAGGTGTTTATCTCAGCTAAAAGCCCATCAGAGAAGACACAGTAATGAGAGGACATTTATTTGTGCCAAGTGTGGCAAAGGCTTCTTCCAGACGTCAGACCTACGCCAGCATCAGAGGATTCATGCCGGAGAGAAGCCTTTCGTGTGCAGCACGTGTGAAAGGTCCTTCAACCACAAAACCAACCTCCAGGCTCACGAGAGAATCCACACGGGAGAGAAGCCCTACACGTGTCCCCTTTGCCGGAAAAGCTACCGCCAGTCATCCACCTACCACCGCCACCTGCGGGCTCACCAGAAAACCGCCTTCAGAGGTGTTTCTTCCACACCAGAAGCTTCCTCGGCTACAGGCCCCATGTGATGTTTATAAGTATGTATGCGAGTGTGTGTATTTCCACTGGTCGGTTTAAGGAGGCAGGATATTCTTCAGTTTTGTTCCCTAAAGTATCTCAGGTGCATAGAAAAGTGGATGAAAATTTTGTGACAAATATCTGTTGAATAATTGAATGAATCTGTAATGTTTATGTTTATTCCTTAAAATCAGTTAGGCTGAATCCCAAGATACAAATGCCAGCTCAGAGATGTCCCACAAGGCTTTTCCTGCTGACTCTCCTCTACTCTGTCCACACCCTTTGACTCTAGTGCAGACTCAGGCACATAAAAATGTGGGTAGTGAAGGCAGAAAGCTGAAAATAGTCCTTAGTCTATGATGGGGAACACTTACATTTAAATGATATAATCATTTCTTTAATTGACTGGATATTAAAAGCTAAACTGAGCCTGAATAAGACTGGTGGCTGAATGTTGCAGAATGCTATTTTATTGATGAATAGATACCAGAAAGGTAAAGTTTTTCCATTATTTTATTATGATAGTGGATATGGGAAGTTTGGGGTGGGGGGGTGTGTTTATTTCCAGAACAGGTTTGAAAGTGCAGTTGGGAGAATAAAAAAGGGGTAGGGGTCTGTTCAGCACTAAGGCAAAAGTACACCCCCAGATACGTTATTTCGTATACTTTTGTGAGCTATCTTCTAGGAAATTGGGGTTCAGTCTCATTGAGAAACTAGGGGATAGTATGTAGAATTTGCTCAAATCACAAAAGATGGCATTCCACAGCATAAAAAGTGGCATTTCTCTGTTTGCTGGGTCTATACAAGGGAGACGTAGTGTACTACAGATAATGCTCCACCGTGTGGAGAAGCCCACTTACCCATCTTTCCTGGATGAGCTCCAATGGTTAAAGTATTTTGAACAGTCTTGAACATGCTTCCTGGTATGCAGGGAGAGCTTCTCTTTGGAAATAATACCTCTATGATGCGGGGACAAACTTTTTCAAAGTGATTTACCACTTAATTATGAAACCATCAGTAGCAACAGATCTTGAGTGTCCATGTCTTCTGGAACACTTGATATTGAGACTGATCTGATTTTAATATCCAGACCTTGAGTACAATTTATTGGATTAAAGGCGTAAAATAAAGGGATAAAATGTTACTTCTCTCTCCACTGCCACTTTAGCCAAATGCATGTTTGCCATACTAACTGCATGTTGGACTCCAGCTGACATCACAGAAGTACAGATACCGAAAATGATCGTAAGGAGTCCACCCAGGGCTGGATCTCAGTATTTATATCCAAAGCTCAACATATTTCCCGTGAAATTGTTGATACATAAGTCTATGTATATTTGGGACTCGGGGTTAAACTTCCCAGGATGAAAATATTGAAATGGAGAACTACGCAACCCGTAGTCCAGCCTACGGGCGCGGTGCTCTCTGGAAGTCCCGTCTATAGCGACACCTGCGCAAGCGCAGGCAGCATCTCCTCTACAGAAAGGACGGAGGCACGGCGCCGGAAGTGATTCCTCGGGTGGGCCGTGGTCGTAGTCGGGTAGGTGGCGGGGGCTGCGGAGACTAGCAGGACCAGTAATTGGGGATGTGTCCCCTGAAACCTCCCGCCGGCACCAGGCGCTCCTATGTCTTCTGGGACTTGTAGTCCTTGCGCCCAGTCGCGCGTTGCTCTCTGGGTACTGCAGTCGGTGGCGCGCTCTGCGCAGAAGCGCGGCGGTTCCCGCGGGGAAGGCTTCCGTTCCTCTGCGTTTTCCCGTGAGGTTTCGGGTCTGAGTCTCCGATGAGCGACAGTTTGGCGTTTCTGCTCGCGTGCTGGGAAGCACAGGGCTCCCGAGTAGGATGGTCCCTGGCTTTATCTTTGTAGGTGCCATCCTTGTATTTCAAGTGGATCTGGCTTACCCTTTTCAGTAGTGAATCGATTTTTTAAAGATATACTTACTTGAAATATGAATCCATTTAAATATTAAATAATGGTTATGTGCAGGAGCTTCATGTCCCTTAGGTTGTAAACCCAAAACAGGCCCACGGTTACTCTCCGGCATGTGAGCCTGTTTACTTACCGCAGCCGCGCATTTCATCAGTTCATTTGTGATCCTAGGGGCTCCTTCCCAGCACTGACTGCTGTCTCTAGTCCTCTTGTCCCAGCCCTTGCTCGGGTCTGGGTAAAGTTGCCCCAATCTCTTTGGTCTCCTATTTCCGTGTCTTCAAAACTTTTGTACTCTTCAGAATCTTTGCACTATTTCCCCTTTACACTGTATTTTACTGAGATTTCTATCAGAAAAAAAAAGCTTAAAAGGCTGAACATTAGAAAGTATAAGCTACCAGACACAAGTGGTGTCACTCTGAAAAATCCCACGTCTATAAATGAGCTGATGTAAATTTGAGGAATTTGGCTTGGAGTTTCATATCTTTTTCCCACGTCTTTAAAAATCCAAAACAGTTCCAATTTGCCAAAGTTTAAAGAAAGCTCCACATTAATAATTAGAGTTTGAAACTCTCAGAATCACTTTTGGATCTCAGGGTTTGTATCCAGAGTTCACAAAGGCTTTCCTGTGAACTTGTTGATAAGTTAAGTCTTTGTATATTTGGAACTTGGGGTTAAACTTCCAGGATGAAAAGACTGAAACAAAGAACTATGCAACTGTAGTCCAGCCTTACACATTTGTGTGTGTAAGTTCTGGCCATGATGGAGTAACGGTCTGATTCACACTTCCACCATCAGTGACAAAACTGGACAAAATACACAGTGTCAGTGCTCTCAGGTGTTGGACAACATATGCTACAGGGTTGTGAAATGTGTCAGGACAGCCCAGCAGGTAAGGTCACATCCTCCTATCCTCCTGCCAGAGCACTTTCCAAACCTGAGCATAAGGTAGGGGCAACAGAGCTTAGAGACCAGGATTGCTGAGCTGGCTTTTAGTGGGTGAGGTGGCCTCGTGGAATGTTGGATATACTCAGAGAAGGAGTCCCAGAATTCTGCATGGATCTTAGGGGTGTTTCTCAGTAAACAAAACTAGGGTTGTGCAGAGCACGACTCCAGGTGAGGGAGACAGCAGCTAAGGGGGCTGTGAGCTGGCTGGAGGTTGCAGAGAGAGTTGCACCATATAGTAACATTGGAATCCTAAATCTCCGGAGAGGAGGAAACTCCTTCAACAACCTGTGCAGTCAGTGGAGACCCTAAGTAGCTCTACTGTAGAAGTGACCCTGTTATTGGAAGGGATGTCCTGGAGAAATTTCAATTAAACATTAGAAGAGACCTCTACCCAGGAGGACGACAACCAGGTTCTTGGCTTTCCCTGAGAAAGAATTCACAAACAGGTGAAAGAAATGGCAAGCAGTTTATTGAAAGTGAAAGTACACAGTCAAGAAGGGAATGTAGGCATGCTCCGGAGATGAGCAGTGCTGGTGTATGGGCGTGGCAGTTTTGTGAGCGACGTTAAGCAGGGGGTAGATATTCATATTGTTTCTGAGAAAAAGTGGGGCTTTCATAGAATTTGGGTGCCATCCTTTCTGTTCAATGAAAGTCTATATCAGAACTTTCATGGCACACAGGGATGTGATTTTAATTCTACATTTCAATTTTATATTTTAAAAACATTTAACTTGCTCTAATAATTTTATATTTTAAAATCATTTAACTTGCCCTTGTTCAATAATTATGACATATGTACATTTGTACAAATGAAACACTAAGATTTTTTCTTAAAAGGTTAGCTTTAAATTCTCCCACATACTATATATGTTCTGTGCCTATATTTTCATCCCTCCATATGCTTCAGAAAACGTCAGCACACTCTGCAGAGTGCACTGCTTAGCTTTTGAACTCGGAATCCATCCAGTTCATAACTGTAGGTGGGAGTGGACGGATCCTCCTCAACATGCAGGTGTAGAAAACTCTATTGTGCAGATGGGCCATATGCATTCACTCGGTTCCTGGAGACAGACATTTAAAGCATTTTCAAGTAAGCTTCCATGAATAACCTCTGCACCCTAAGCACATATATCTAATGTCTATTTAAATTGAGAAAATACGTCAGGTTTAGCACTGAAGGTTACTGGACATGTTGGTGACGGTGATGCATGTCTTTGTTTTCAAGATTTTTTTTTGGAGGAGTTTTAGGTTCACAACATAATTGAAAGGAAGGTACAGAGATTTCCTACTATTTCCTGTCTATACACATGCATTTCCTCCCCCATTATCAACCTCACTCACCAGACGGCACACTTTTTACAAGGAGGAACCTGCCTTGATCCATCACAGTAACCCAAGTCCACAGTCAGGGTTCACTCTTCATGCTGCCAACCCTGCGGGTGGACAAACAGGTAATGGGTCATGTGCATCAATCACTGTGATGTTATGCAGCATATAGCATATTCATTTCCCCTGCCCTAAAGCCTCTCTTTGCTGTGCCTGTCCGTTCCCTCCCCAGACTCCACAGTCCTTGCAGTCACCGATCTTATTATTGCCTCCACAGTTTTGCCTTTTCCTGAATGCCATGTGGTTAGACGCGTGCAGCATGCAGTTTTTGCTGATTGGCTTCTTTCACTCGGGAACATGCATTTAAGTTTCCTCCGTGTCTTTGTTCGTGGCTTGACAGCTCAGTTCAGTTTAGCCCTGGATCACGTGCCATCGCCTGGATGTACCTCAGTTTATCACGTTTCCTTTTGTTTGCTGAGCTGCCCTTCCTCTGGCTCCAACGTTTAGAACCGGCGTGACGGCTGCTGCCAAGTGCGAAACGGGGCTTATCTTCCTCACTCAGCTGGGGGTGGGCATCCTTGGGGACTCCTTCCTCCTTTGCCTTTATACCCTCGCACTTCTCACTGGACGCAAGCTGAGGCCCCAGACAGGATTCTCAGCCAACTGGTCTTAGGCAGCTGCTTGGTGCTTCTCTCCAGAGGGATGCCTCAGACCAGGGCACCGTCACATCAAGACACCTCAGGACTGAGGCCCCACGTAAACCCCTCTCGTCCTCCCCAGGCACCAGCTCCATCCTTGGTGTCCCCCAGTCCG